CTTAAGCATGTGCCTAACTTCAAGCATATGAGTAGTTCCATTGACTTTAGTAAGACATCAAAGCATGTTTAAATGATTTGCTCAACAGGGTGGACGTAATCAGATAAAATTGAGCATATGCTTAAGTGCTATGCTGATTCAAAGCTTAATTCTGAATAACAGGTGTGAAAACCAATATTACAATACATGAATATTACATTTTGGACATTTTAAATTTAAATATGCTTTTATATGGACTCTTTGGCTTTTTTTTAAGTCTTAAGATATTTCTTTCTTTCATAGGTAGCTGCAGAATGAGTTTTATATACCATGCAATTCTTTTACATAAAACACTACTGACCTTGCATACTTTTATAAAAAGATAGAGCTAGACATATTGGAATGGATAATTATAGACTAATGTGATGTCTTGACCCAGTGCTTTAAAGAGGGTCATTGCCATATTTCTCTCTATGGAGTTAAATGGATTAGACATGTCTATAATATTTTTGTTGTTTTCCACATTGTGGAATGATGTCAATAAAAATGCATTTGTTTGAACATTAATGCAACTAAAGAAATCCACTCTAACATTTAAAATGCATTACAGTGCTAAGACTGGTAGTCTTATTCTTCTTTGTAAAACAAGTATTTGATGATTTCAGTGAAATGATGACATGTTGGAAATGTTAGCAGTGAAAAACTAAACTCCGTACATGATCTTAGAAACCACAGGTGTCTTTGAGAGGAAAAAAAATTCTTAGATAGAAATTAAAATAATTAGCTAATCACTTCGTTTTTCTCAAAGTTCCGCATACCTACAAAATGGAAGTGAAGCAAAAGTAAACAAGATGTATACAAGACTGTAGTTAATAAGAATTAAAACTGAGAAGATATTTGACCTTGAATTTTAAGAATTTTTCAAAATCTGTACACAGCACTTTCACTGAAAGCAATACCAGTATCTATTAACTGTTCAAGTATTAAAATACTTTGTTCTACCATTAGAAGCAATATTGTCATTTATATTTAATTTTTTTGCAATGCGGCAAACAGATGTGCCTATAAAATATAAAAAAGCGCTTACTAAATTATAAATCTTATAGAAAACATTAAAAGGATGCAATTCTATTTTTGCTTTGGATTGATGGAGTTTGATTTATGTTTGGCTTTCTTATTAATGTACATCAATAAACTTCTTGTTTCTATTCTCATTTGTTGTAAATAAATATTTCCTAGACCAGAAAGATGAAATTTTGTCATCACATATATATTTTATTAAGGAAACAGTAAAAAAGTATTTAAAAAAAGCTAAGCTACAGATATTATTGTGAATGGGTTTTTGACAGTGGCACCAAACACCTCCCTTCTCCAAATCAGTCCCCAAAATGTTACTTTGGTAACAAATAACCAGATTAAGTTAAAATGGTAAAGTGTACTGTGACAGTCAATTTCTGTTAAAACTCTATTAACCAATAATGTTTGTGCTCAACTGAAAACATTTATAAACATTGCATGGTGTATAATTAGCCACTGCAGAGTTTGTGTATTGGTAATGCTTTGGGATTATATAAGATGTTGGACATTGTATTAATTTAAGATATTTTTATTTCATCTACATACTATTAGAAGATTTACCCAGTGTTTCTTGGGTTCTTAACTATATTAATTTTTGTTTTTCTTCATTTGAATCAATGCTCTGGGATGGGCCTGGGGATGTGGGGTTCAGTATGCAGGCTGCTCCGTGAAGAGAACTATCCCAGCCTGGGTTCTTAACTCAATTTTTGTTTTATTCTCTCAAATATATAATAGATAAGTTGCAAGCTTTTGCCAGCAGATGGCTCCTTACTTCACAAAAAGGATTTCTGTTGCTTCGGTCCTTAATTTAATGTTTGTTTTTCTTGATTTAAATGATTGCTTAGGGGTGGGGCTTGGGCTTGGGCTGTACTTCTGAAACTGGGCATCTGCGGTTCTTTGGTTCAGCAATATTCATGGTCCTGCTGGACCATGGATGTTGCCGGACCAGAGAGTCCCGGATTTTAGAGTTTCAACCTGTAGAAGACTTGGGCTTTTGGTCAAACAACTAAACTTCCAGTCATTTGTGACTGAAAATGAGGAGTTGAAAATTCTGATCCCACTTTAGTCAATATCAGAACTTCCATTTGCTGTATGCTCTACAGGGAGCAGGGTGTCTAAAGTTGTTCATTGAACTAGACAGACAAACCAAAGGAATAAAAGTATAGCTTTTTTGCATGCTATTAAGCACAGGATAGCATGTTTTACCTTTGTTACCTCAAATAATGCATGTTTTTTTGCATTCTGGTGTCCATCTTATTGATACAATTGAGGCTCAAGTGATGTTGGCTTTTAGATTTCAGCTTCTTTCTTTCCACCATTCTCATCTTCAGATTTTGCATTTTTTTGGCCCAGAGTAGGAATCCTTGGGAAGGAATCCGTGATTATCAGATCAAGTTTCTTGTTGAATATCTTCTTTAATAAATACAGGCCTCAGGATTTACATGATATGGTCTTGAACCTCTTTACTCAATACCTAATACTGTACTACAAAGATAAAGACTTCTGACAGCGAAAAAAATACCCGTGCTTCCACAAATTACGCTCACACTCCCTAAAATGTAAAGGACTAGGATAGTTGTGTAGTGTTTGTACTTTATTTGAATTTAACAATGTCAGTCAACTTTTTATTTAATCTTTAAAAGTATAATTTACTGTATATGTTTCTTTTTATATTGCTCATTTCCCTTCCTTCCTTGTTTCACTTCACTTTCTTTTTTATTCTCCTGTAAAACATCATGGTATAACTCTTCAAATTTTCTTCAGTGGATCTGGCAATTCTAGAAGATGCTAGGAGTCAGAGGATTGTGCTAAATTGTCATTAATGTGTCAATTAGCAATATTTGAAGCTTGCTTTATATTATTTTAACTTAAATTAAACATTTAAACTGATACATGTCTGCATTTGGGGTTTTGTACTGGTTTAATTAGATTGGTTTTAAATTGTTTTAAGTTAAACCAGTGAAACTTTTTTGTATAGAATTTGAATGGTGAATTCTTTTTTACTTTGATGACTCTGTTAACCTAAAATAGCTTCTCATTTTTAAAATAATAGCTTCTCATTTTTAAAATATCCTTAAACTAAAATAGCTTCTCATTTTTAAAATAACAGAGTCATCAAAGTAAAAAATGAAGCAAAGAGAAAATGAAGCAAAACTATTAGGTAGATTCTATACTTCATTCATTTTAGTATTAGATTATTTTATGTGCATCAGTTCATTGTGGAAACTACTGATTTGAGAGCAGAATTCTTTTGTTTTGCCTTCTTTGATTTGTGTCTGTATCTCAGATGGTTTTAGAGTTCAACTCTGTGTGCCACTGAATTGTGGGGTCTCTTTTTAATGATATATATGGCAGTAATAATCTACATGAACATGACACAATATGATAGTTGAGCACAGTGTGGAGAACCATCTTTCTCCCAAAATTAACGTTTGTTACTTGATTATTCTTATGGAAAGTACTTAAGTTGATATTTTTGGTACATAAAATATTGTCTATTTTTTTTAAATAAGTAAAGTTAGGCTTCATTTTTTTTCCACTTTAGAAAAATGTTTTTATAATATCTGCTTGAATTTATAGGGAGGAAATTACAAAAATAGTTGCCCAAGTTACACTGGTAAAATATGCATCTGAACAGGTAGCTAAGTGGGTGCAAAAGGTGCATGTAAAATGCAAATTTGCTGGGCAAATAGTCAGATTTATGTTCTTTTGTAAATGTGAGTTCAGTGCTGTACAAGAAACGCAAATGTGTATTCTGAGCATATAATTGCTTGTTTGTACATATGTTTGCAAATCAGCTCAGATCAGAGCGTGATGCCAGTCCAACATAATGATAACAGAACACTCTTTTCCCATTAAGATAGCCACTCTACAGTATTGTCAGACTGTATTAGAATCATAGAACCATAGAGCTGGAAGAGACCTCAGACGGTCATCAAGTCCAGCCCCCTGCTCTAGGCAGGACCAATCCCAACTAAATCAACCCGGCCAGGGTTTTGTCAAGCTGAGACTTAAACACCTCTAGGGATGGAGACTCCACTAGTTCCCTAGGTAACCCATTCCAGTGCTTCACTACCCTCCTAGTGAAATCGTTTTTCCTAATATCCAACCTGGACCTCTCCCACCCCAACTTGAGACCATTGCTCCTTGTTCTGCCATCTGTCACTAATCTGTACTGTTGTGTTTAAAAAGAAATCAGTGTTCTGTCTCAATGTTCTGAGGTAATTCGTTTCAGATGCTACAATATTTTAAGCCTGGAAAAATCACACAAATATTTTAAAGACATTTTTTTTCTTTTTTTAGATGGTCAGGATCATTCACTGCTTGCAGGTTCTTTTCATAAAAAGAAGCTGGCAAAAAGGCCAGGATACATGAGACCAAAAGCTCCACAACGGATAGAGTTTCAGCCTTCTGCTGACTACAAGTCATTCAACCCAAAGGGACTTGAACATGGCGGAAAGCATTGTGAAGACTTTAAGAACTGCTCTCTGCACAAATTATGGAAAAATGAATTCTTACACTGTAATTCATCTGTAAACAGTGCTATAGTTACCAATGATGTGGTAACAACGTTGACTACTGCTGGAAATACAACAGGAGACCTCAGAAATCTGTCAGATCACAGGTTTCAGCAGCCAGAAAATGTAATTCTTCCAGTTTGTCCTGCAGCTGTCACATGTAAAAGAGACTTCTCACCTGCGTTCAGTTCACATACATGGCAGACACATCTACTAGCAACTACAGGGGAGACAACCCACTGTGCTAGAATAAAGGAGCCAAAGAAAATGTACACTTTGGATCATAAGGAAGTGAACAATAACTGTGAATATAAAAACAAAGAAATCACATCTTACTCTTCCAGTTCTTGGGATAGCTTTAATTCAAGTTTCAGCTTCATACAACTCTCACTGAATTCAAGTTTTGAAAAAAGTGACTCGGAAGACCAGTCAGATGGCAGGGCAGTGGAAAATACTCTGCAAACCAGTGCAACAGGACAAACAGAAAATGTTAATTTAGATGAACCAAGGGAGAGACTAAGAAGTTCACATAAAGACTTAGGGGCTTCATCTTGCATTTGTAGGGATGGTGAGGATTATCAGTGTACACGAGAGAACGAAGTGAATGATAAATGGCAGGATTGTGAGATTGCATCTCTTTCAGACACAGATGTAGCATTTTCATGTTACACGGATTCCTCAGATGCAGCATCTGCTGGTTCATCTGTTACCTCAGGCTATGAAAGTAGCTTTACTTTTAGTGATTACAACTGGGACACCCTGATGAGGAAATATGAACCGGTGCTATTGGACTGCTTGGTTGGCAACCGTAGTATATTAAAGGTTGGTAATCACACAGTTTGTTCATGTGCATTTGGTGCTGTGAATTTTTAGACAAATCAATCACTGGGCTATTGTAAAAGATAGGAAATGACTGGCTTTTGTGGCTTTGTGGCATTTAATTATATTTACAGCAGTGTAATGCATGGTTAGAAATGAGAACCACTGCTTGTGTGGTTCGTTTTCTCAACTTCCTTCTTAAAATAGCCAATTTAAATCTTTTCATAATAGTCAAAGTTGCAATTTCAGCAGAATACAGTAATCCTTGTTTCCTTTCCTAATAAACTATCTTGTTTCGGTATTAAACAGCTGCCACCCTTTGCCAGAAATGGCTGTTTTTTCTTGATGGAAAAAGTGACTGGCATGTGAGGGGCCAAATTTTGATGTGGATTGTACATTTGAAACCAGAGGCCCACATGGGGTAATTGTTGGTCTCAGTTTTGAAGAAACTAGATCCGCAAAGACATTGTTCTGCAGTCTTCCCTATATAGCATCCTGAAGGGCATATTGGAAAAAGGCTTAGAAGTCAATGGGTATGGTCAACTCACTTGAATACATACATAGCTTGATCTAGTCTCACAATTTTCCGCTAGATTAACTTTGTACTGGGGATTACATATCAGACTAAAGATGGCCAGAAATCAGGTTCATGGTAATCCTACTTTTGTATTTTTCTTAAGTTCTTACTGGGAACAATTATTTTGATTTCTGATGTGGAACAACAGTGTACATGTTGACTTTTAATATCAGTCCCTGCAAGTGTAAAATAATAATAAGCATAATCAAAATTGTCAGGATCCGGTCATAAAACAACTCAAACCTTTTGGGGTCAGGTCAGCTCTCCGTCTGCTTGTACGAGTGATGCCTGGGTGATTGCGTGTCCTGTTCCCGTTGGCCGTGGCCACCTTGCTGTGCTGTGGAGTGAGTGAGCAAAAGCGTTGCAGTGCCTCTCCATAGAAGAGCTGGTGGCTATTAGGAGTGGAAAAAATGGATACTGCTGCACAGGAAGAAGGCTGTGGCTGCACTGGGTCAGT